ATCATGTCACAAATAGATATGTGCATTTGTTTCATGATCTGCTTAACAATAGCGGAATGATGGCCATTTTAAGGCCGAAAATGCATCAAAATCACATATTTTCACAATTCCAGAACCGGATCTCAGTCATGCATGGATGGATTTTGTTCAGATTTAGCACAATGTGTTGTACATATGCAGGTGCATTTCGGTCATGATCTGCTTTGAATGTATATGTCACTCAAATATGAACGGAACGGGGACGTGTCATTGACAATGACTTGTTTATTTCATGACGATATCTTTGCTGTTTTTAGTATCAAATATTTTGTACTAGAGTGTAATACCTAAATGTCATGTTTACTTTGTATACAGTAGATTTTATTATTATCTTATTGTTTCTCCTCAGGGTAATCCTACCAATGGACAACAGGGGTATGCATCTCAACAAACTGGTGAAGATGTTGATATGACCAAAAAATTAAAACAAATACTGGAGCCTTTCAAAAATCAGCTTCCTTGTAAGTATCATAAATCAGTACTGGTGTGTGTGTGTGTTCGTGGTGTCAACGTTATGATTACTTTCATTTAACATTATACCTACCAAGTCACGACCCATGCTATTTTCTAATTATTATCTAATCAAATTTAAGTCTATTTCCGTAGCTTAGGGTTAGTAAAGGGGGAAGGTAATGCAGTGTTCTTCCTAGGTCTCTGAAGCGTCACGATACCCTGGCGCTTGGACACTCTGCCATGATGCTTATTGCTTTGTTTACAAGTGTCAGTCTCGTCTTGCACAAATTTAAAACAATAACATGTATTGATCAAAAAATAATCCCGCTTTTGTTAGCCATAAAAAGACAGTGATAAAAACGAAAGTCTGCAAGAAGTCTTTTAAGGGTGCAGAGCCTCCAAATCCAAAAACAAATACTAGGGTAGCAATAATTTGCCAATTTCACGCAACAGCAACAATGTGACAAAACAAGTCTAAAAAATAACAAATTCAGCGTACGTCAGGAAGATCTATCCCGATTTGCTGCACTGCGGTCATTTGCGTTTTTACCACTCAATCGCTGGTGACATTAATTACCCCAAAATTAAGAAAAATAGTGAAATTAAGTCACAGAAAGAAAAGTGTAAATAAATCGACGCAAAAATTATTCAACTGCAGACAAGATGGGCGAAGAAAAAATGAATACTGATCTCTGGAAATACCTCATTCATAGGGTGCCTTAGTACAGAAGAACGCCGTCCTAAGGCAACATAATTCACATTGTGACCAATGGATGCTGGGTTACGGTTACTGGGGGGATCTTGATCGAGGTAACAAAGATGGCGGCGCAGAGTGCATGTTTTTCCGTGATGTTTAAAAACAGCATCTCGTTGGCGATTTTGATGTAATGTCTATGATAATTGTCAATGAATCGTTTTAATTAACAAAACATTGTAAACTTGTGTATTTTATACCAAAAAGTCAGATACCGATGATTGCATTAGCAGCGATAAATACCCGTTCAACTCAATGTCGTCACAAGGTCAATGAAAAATTGCTGACTTTAGTGCCGAAATGCAATTGTAGAAAAAAATTTTCTCATTATTGATTTATTAATTTGAACATATCGCAATCTTGCCGACTTTAACAAAAAAATGTTTTCCCCACGTCATATGAAATGACAGTGACATGGTCACTAAAACTGACTACTTGTACACAAAATAATGATGAACCAGTTACCTTCATGGATAACATTATATTTACTGACTGGCTATAACAAACGTCTTTCCATTTTGTTTTTCTTTTTATGCTGGTCATTTCAAACTTTATTTGTCTTGATACAAAAACATAAAATACAATGCAGTAAAATGATATCAAATTTATCAGATATAAAATATCTTGTCTTTAATTATTTGTAGATTGACTAATTTATTTAATAACAACAGTAACACAGTTATTGTATCATAATGTTTGTTAAGGAAACTGATTATTATGCAAATTAGGTGCATTGTCATGCAAATTGGCCATGGTGCTTGACATGAAGTCTGGGAAGAACACTGGTATGGTACTATTTATATTAATATAATTGTTTTGTACCATATCAATCAAACTCCAATTAAAACTCAACCGTATATACAGTTGTGTTTTAATCTAAACATAATGCAACTATATTAAAAGTTAATCCAATGTATGTGCAACGATGATAAGATGGGTTTGGGTCTATAATTCTAAAGAGAAACTGGTATAATTCCAGGCAACTCAAAGTTGCTTGGTTTTTAGATTCATTTCTCTGCATATTAACTAGAAAGTTACCATATTAATTATTTGATTTTTGTTGTTGGAGTCTCAATAATTCTGTCTTGTAGTTTTAGTTTCAGTCCCTCACTGCTAGGCTACTGTGACTCTGTTACTTATATTGAGAGACTGGGGGATTTGATTTCCAGAATCTGTTGGATATGATTTTTCAGTAACCAATGGCTATACAATGTTCACTGGGTTCAGTGAGAAGTTTTCTACAGGTCATACAAATTATCAATGCAACTTTAACTCTTTATTCATATATATAAATACATCTTTATTTTGTTCTCTGTCAGCATCAAACATGGGAGACCAACAGCAGATAAATGTACAGCAGCAGCAGCAACAACAACACCAGCAGCAGCAGCAGCAACAACAACTTCCTCCTGGTATGCCACCCCCAGGAATGATGGAAGGTATGGACCCAATGCAATTTCCTCCTCCTGGTCCACCTATGCCAATGCCTGGTGCACCAATGATGGGTCCAGGTGGACCAATGCCAATGCCACCTAGTGGACATATGATGCCTCCCGGTGGGCCGATGCCGATGCCACCACGTGAAGGACTGTTACCTCCACCACAACCTGGCATGCCAATGCCATTTCCACCTCCAGGAATGGGTTCGTACTTCTCTTTGATAATGTTTTCCTTATATAGTATAGAATGTATGTCCAGTACAAAATGTGATTTTTGTTGTCATGTACAAGGAGGAAAAGTCATGTGGTCATTGTTGTTACCGTCCTAATACTGTAAAACATGTCTTTTTTGCGAGCATGTCTTTTTAGCAAATTTAACTGATTCGCTAATTCAAGACTTTATTATAAATTCAAAATGGCCAAGGCCAAGGGATTTGTATACAGTAATCCGGAACATAAAAATCGAGGGCATTTCCTAATTACACTTGACAGTTTTGATGGAAGGGAAAGGTATATTAAGGGAAAAATTTTGTCCGGCGTTGTCGTTGTTGTTGTTGTTGTTGTCGTTGTCGTCGTCGTTAATAATTGTTATTGTGTGCATAATAACTTTACTAACTCTATTCCAAACTTTATCAAACTTGGTCACCTTATTCATCAGTATAAAGTCTTCCCTGAGTTTGAACAACAGATGTCCTGTATGAAAATATCATGCAAAAATTGAGAAAATCTGATAAAATATTTCGACTGTTTCTACTTGACTGATCACTGGTGATACACATCAAAGATCACT